AGGTACAGCAGGGTTCATAAAGTTAAAACTGTAGACAATTCTTTGCCTTCATAAGGCAACTAGTGTGGTCCAGGAGCTCCATTCTGAGAGTGCCCACCCCCATCCTCTGTTCTGCATGTGGTTTATGTCATCACCATCCTCTAATGTCCAGGATGTGAAATCCTCAGTGATGGGACAATGGCATGTCCTTTCAATAGTCACATTTTATGTATTGTCTGGACTGTGGTCTTTTAAGACAACCTACCTGGGTACAATATATGCCCCATCATTTAAATTGATTTGACTAGGAAAAATATTTAGTTTCTCTGTTTGCAAAGTGCATTATTAAATTATTTACCTTTGTAATTTTTTTATAACTCAAATGAACTAAATCATATAAAATACTTATGAAGATGCCAATTATGTTGTTTGGCAGACATTGACTTTTTACTATTCTTGTGTCCGTTATTATCAAAAAATCAATATGTATGAAATACTCGTCTCCTGCTCCTCTGCCAAATTCTAGGCCTTGTTAACTCATTCCAGACAACGAGGATGAGATATGAATATGGCAAACCAAACAAGAGTGACAGAGTTCATCTTCCTGGGGTTTTCTGGCGTGCTGTATCTGCGGCTTGCGTTATTTGTGATGTTTCTCACTGTATATCTGCTCTCCCTCATGGGAAACACCCTCATCATTTTCATCGTTCTGATGGACTTCACTCTCCAAACACCCATGTACATTTTCTTAGGAAATCTGTCCTTCCTAGAGATCTGGTACACCACAGCAACAGTGCCTAAGTTGCTGGCCACCTGTGTCTCGCGGGTGGTCACCATCTCTGTTTCTGGTTGTGTGGCCCAATATTACTTCTTTTTCTCTATGGGAGCTACGGAGTGCATCATGCTGGCTGTGATGGCCTATGACCGGTACCTGGCCATCTGCAGCCCTCTGAGGTACTCATTCCTCATGCATCTTCCCGTGTGCCTGCGGTTTGCAGCTGGATCTTGGGTTGGGGGCTTCGTTGCCCCGCTCCTACCTACCATACTCATCTCTTACCTAGACTTTGTGGACCCCAGAATATCAATCATTTCTTCTGTGACTCAGACCCAATTTTTAAACTCTCTTGCTCAGATACATTCTTGGTGGAGGCCTTGGGCTATACGTGTATTTCTGTTGTGGTTCTAAGTTCTTTG